CGATGGGGTGGGTGGTTGGGTGGGTGGTGGGGTGGTTGGCTGGGTGATGGAGAGATTAGTTGGGTGATTGGGTGGTTAGTTGGGTGGTGGGGAGGTTGGGTGGGTGATGGGGTGCGTGGTTGGGTGATGGGGTGGTCAGTTGGGTGATAGGGTGGTTGGTTGAGTGGTGGGGTGGTTGGTTGAGTGGTGGGGTGGTTGGTTGGGTGCTGGGGTGGTTGGTTGAGTGGTGGGGTGGTTAGATGGGTGGTGGGGAGGTTGGGTGGGTGATGAGGTGGTCAGTTGGGTGCTGGGGTGGGTGGTTGGGTGATGAGATGGTTGGGTGCGTGGTAGGGTGGTTAGTTGGGTGATGAGGTGGGTGAGTGGGTGATGGGGTGGGTAGTTGGGTGATGGGGTGGTTTGATGGGTGGTGGGGTGGTTAGTTGGGTGGTGGGGAGGTTGGGTGGGTGATGGGGTGGGTGGTTGGGTGGTGGGGTGGGCGATGGGGTAGTTAGTTGGTTGACGGGGTGGTTGGGTGGGTGATGGGGTGGTTGGTTGGATCACGGGATGGTTGATCGGATGATGGGATGGTGGGTTGGATAACGGGGAGCTGGGCTGGTTGGTTAGCCGGTTGACCAGTTTAAGGGCTGGTTCCCAGACCGGTTGGTTAGCTGGTTGACCAGTTGAAGGGCTGGTTCCCAGACTGGTTGATTAACTGATTGACTACTGAGCTGGTTGGGTGGTGGGATGGTTGGTTGGGTGCAGGATTGGATCACCAGTTGGTCACCTGTTGACCAGTCCACGGGCCATCACCTGGTTAACCGGTTAGTTGGCCTAGTTAGTTGGACGAGGGGGTGACTGGGGAGCTGCCACCTGATTGGTGGGCAAGTTGAAGGACCAAGTTGATTGGCCCTTTGGTTAAGGCGCCGTGGGGCTCTCTCCCCATAGATGTGGTGGAGGAGGCGGTGGGAGCCAGTGGGTGGCCACCAGTTGCCCCCCCTGAGCCCTCGGGGCAGGTCATGGCCGTCCTGGAGGACTCGTGGCACAGGGATGTGGCTACCAACCTCACCCCCCCGGGTAAGGCGGGGCTTAAAGGGGTGGGGCTT